TAAAAGATGTGGCTAATATAAGGGATTTTTTTGCACTTTCACAAAAGCTATTGTTATAGTGATTAATTCTACAAACTTCTTTCAAGTATTTTATAAACGAAGAACATCATTTTGGGTTGTTACTCTTTCAGTGTAGATGCTATTCCCCAAATAAAATACAGGAATAATATTTTAAGTTTATTACTATGAATTATACAAATTGTGGAAATTACTATTTTTAATTCAATATTGAATATTAAGAACTTATATATGAATTCTATGGGATATGATCTTGAATTAGGTACAGAAACACCTGACTCAAAAATTGTGTGATGGTGGGAACAAGATGATTAAAACATGAGAGGCTCATATTGTATAGTTCATGTTGGCTGCTGGTATTTTTCTGAGCCCTGTTCAAAGCACTTTTACTAAGTGATCAAGAATGGTGGGCCTTCTCTGTTGCCCTACTTTAGTAGTCATTAAATTGTCTACCAAGAGACAGCCTTTTTTGCAATTTTATTTCCACCTGAGGAATGCCTTACCAACAGGATTCCCTTTAGATCATCATTGTCAGTTTTGGGAAACTTGTATGTAAATGTTTATTTTAAGGCTTCCAAATGACATTTGGTTTCTCTACTTGTGTTTCAGCTTTGAAACTCATTTTAGTATACTTTTAACTGCTGCAGTTTCTTGAAGTTTAATTAATTTTGCTTTATTATATATGATTCTGATTAAATTAGGCACTTTTATTCTTCTAACATACTTGTTTTAAAATTTGACCAAGGAAAACTTTTTGAAATAAATATATTTAAAATTGTAAAAGCAACCTCCCTGATATGTGTCTGTATTTACTTTTTTGCAATCTTACATAAGTACTGTACAGATGAAATGGCATCATATGATTCTGAGGCATGCTTATGCAATTTAACAGCATACTATCTTTTCTTTAAGATGGTTTCCCCTCGAGTCTAAACAAGGAAAACGAACTAAAGACAGAGGAGAGATAAAAGTCAATATTCAGTTTGTGAGAAACAACATGACAGCGAGCATGTTTGACTTGTCAATTAAGGACAAAACCAAATCTCCTTTTGCCAAATTAAAGGACAAAATGAAGGGTCGTAAGACAGATGGGACATTTTTGGATACATCTTCTGCAATCATTCCAAGTACTCATACACCAGAAACTAACAATATAACATCCCTCAATGAATTGCAGTTAAAATCGAAGCCAAAAAAGCCTTTTCTTTTGGGACCTCAGCGACTCTCTCTGGCTCACTCAATGTCTGACCTAACTGGACCTCAGATAACTTCAGAAAAAAATAAATCGGGAACAACTGGCAACTCTTACCTCTTCAGACGTCAGCTTGAGTCTGTTGGTTCTGAGGATGAAAGTGGTAAGTACAGATTTCTTCAGAGGCAAATTCTATTTGAAAAGGCCTTCTAGTAGAATTATTTCAAACCCCATATTTTTATGCTCCTATTCCTAAGAAAAATATAGTTGCTAAGAATTTGAGATACAGTGGAAATCAAATGAAGAATCAAATGTTTCATCAATAATTTATTTTAATAAGTATAATTCTTCCCCACTTTATTACTTATTACTATATTCATTTTCATTTCACTGTAATTTGTTTTAAAAATAGATTTTGGTGTATACAAAAGTCTAAAGTTCCAAGTTTCAAATGTTTTTATCTTGAAACAGACATTCTGCGTCTTCCATGATTGAAATGAGAGTTGTTTCAAGCTTGAAATAAACTTTGACAGTTTTGAGTGTTTTGTGCTGTTCTGTATGCTGTGACGGGACATGTTTTCTTGTAGTTGACTTTTCCCAGATGTTGCAGCCTAGCCACTACAGCAGGTGGGACTGATTTATTGAGCTTTTTTNTCCTCCTCCTCCTCCTCCTCCTCCTCCTCATATTTCATGCAACTGGAAAACAGGTTTTTTTTTTTTGCTGCATGATATTAGAATGGCAACAATTAGAAAGGTTTTCTAACAAATAACATCTGAATAATACTGCTTATTTGGACACATTTTAATCAGGCTATTGGCCAGGATTTGATGCTTTATGGAAATTCTGGTAGATGATCCACTCAAGCTTTGATGAATGAACCACAGCAGAAACTGGATGGTGAAACTGCCTTGTTCTTGTCGGCTGCGATACAATAGACCTTGATATCAGGGGTGGGTTCTGGCAGTCACTACTACCGGTTTGCTCATGGGCGCACGCATGTGCGTGAGCATGCACAATGCAATAAAAAATGCTCTGCGCATGTGCAGAAAAATAAAACAAGATGGCGCCACCTATGGCGCCACCCAGAGAGCCAGTTTGGGGGCATGGCAGGCCTGGGTTGCTGCCGGATGTAGCGACCCAGGCCGCCAAACTACTACCGCTTTGGACAAACCGGTCCAAACCGGTTGGAACCCACCACTGCTTTATAGCCTTTGGACTGCCAGCTGAGATAGTCCTTTATTTGGTAAGGGGCTGCTGTGTTAAGAATTACTTTCGTGTTGTTTTGATTGGTCTTGGTTATTACTCACTAAAATTGAAAGGTGGGAAATAATCGTACTTATTATAAGACAACTATTCTGCTCTTAGTGGTTAAGATGTTTTACTGAGACTGGGAATCTTAAGTTCAAAGGCACCATAAACCACAGAAACTTAGTAAGTGAGTTTGAGCTAGTCATTACTCAGCCCTCCCTATTTCACGGAGTTGTTATGGAGAAAAAACTGGAGGCGGGAGTGCCATGTAGGTTACCTTGGGCTCCTGGAGGAAGAAATATACATCTAATAAAAAGAAATATTAAAGTTGAAATTCAGAGTTCCCAGAACACATCCATTTATGCAGAAATAAACTTCTCCTCTAAATCCAGGATATTTATATTGCAAATATTGGGAAAACCTCAGGGACCACTAAATTCATAATTTTAAATCCCGTGGACAACTAATGATCTGCCTAATNCCCACAGGTGTCATGTGGGAGACATCTTCAAAAAGCATCATCAGGTTGGTATGCCGGACAGTTGGCCTTGGCGGCAAATCCTCTATCTGCAGAATGCGCAGTAGATGGTGAGAACAACTCCACTTTTACAGTCACTCCTGCACTGACATTTCCCCACCCAAATACCATGTCCCCCCCTCCCCGTTTCAACGGCAGCCGAAAACAAGCAGCAAAACAGAGGCTGACAGAACCCATCTCTGGCGCTAAAAAAGGTTGGAAGCTTGCTTCTCTAACGAACCAGGGCAGGTTTTGCCTAAGCTGCTTCTGAGCATTATTTTATTTCTCAGGACATTAAAAAAAAATGTTTCAGGTAACAGTTCTTGCATATTTCTGTCAAGGTCATCTTCCTTACAGTCTCCAACAACAGCTCCAGAATTCTGAAAATGAGGACCAACACCTCTGGCAAGCATCAGATTTGAGGAGCCTGTTTCAGCCTCCCACAGTTACTTCAGTTTCTTAAAAAATAGCCAATCAAAATGACTAGTAGCTGGTAAAAGCAAGATCTTCATGTAATTAGCATTTTAATAGTGAGGGAAGGTGTTGGAGATTAATGAGAATATTTAAAAGTGGCACTAAATTGGGTTGAACTGCTTTCCCATTTCTTACAGTGCTGCCTGTAGTCTCACATTGAAATTAACTACCTTCTTATTTCTTCCTAATTGCTCCTATCATATTTTGAGATGACGCTAAAGAAATTAAAATATAAATAACCGATGTCTATTTGCAAAGTTCCTCTTCCCTACCATTCCATCCTTGTCTTTGGGTTGACATTTGTTTTGGAAATTATGCTTGTGTTTCTCAAAAGTGGGAAAAGAATCTTTCTTCTTTTTTTTAATTAAAGAGTTTTAATAGGTTTTACAAATATTTCCCCTTCCCTCCCTCCACCCCAACCCTCCCCTCCTCCAACCTTCCCTCCCCCCAACCTCCCAGAGCAAAATTCAGGGTATAAACATTTAACATAAGCTAACTAACTATAGCTTCCTATCTCCTCTTGTACTTTAACTCCCCTTTTATTAAGCTAACTTTCTTCTTGTTGTATTATTTTCCTCACTATTTGTCTTGAAGGCATGGACTGTAAGGAGGAGACTTAAGAGACAGTGTACCTTACTGTTGGTCCTGTCCTGTACTGATGCCAGCTTATGAGTAAGCTATCTTTAAAGGATTATTTTAAGACATTTTGGCAACATTCCATTTGGACAACAGAGCAGATTGCTTTTCACAATAGTCTGGCAAGAAGGCAGTGGGTATAATGCCTAGAGATTGTTTTTGTGGTGGGTGAGTGCTGAGTGCTGTCTGTTCCTGTCTGTATTGGTAAGGAAGCAACCTGGTGGTGCAGATAAGCTCTTAGTTAATTGGGAAGCAGTGAAGTGAGAGCATCATATGGAAAATACTGAAATCTGGTTTTTGATTTCATTGCTGGTGTAATGTTTATGGAGATCTGGGTAGGGGTTCACTGACAAAATGGCGACCGACTAAACCGCGGTGACAAAACCGCGAGTTCTAAAATGCGCCGACGAATGAGCACTGAATAGCGCCGACAACAGCGCACCGACAGAACCGCGCTGTAAACCTAACCCTAAACCTAAACCTAATGCTAATGCTAACGCTAACCCTAACCCTAAACCTAATGCTAACCCTAACCCTAACCCTAAACCTAAACCTAACGCTAACCCTAAGCCTAACCCTAAACCTAAACCTAAGCCTAAGCCTAACCCTAAACCTAACCCTAACCTTAACCCTTACCTTAACTTAAATCGCACTTCTGTCGACGCGCTGTTGTCGGCGTGCTGTTGTTGGCGCATTGATGATGTCACGGTTTTAGCGATGCACTTTTGTCGTGCGCGCTTTTGTTGGGTCACGCTGGGTAGGTAGGTAGGCCACATTTAGCATGTGGTCCCAGCTCCTTCTATAGTCTTCGGAGCTCCAAGAAGTGCTACCGAAATTCAGCAGCAAACTTCATACAGGCTTTTTCCTTTTTCTTTTTAAAACAGGTATGTTCCGTTTCTAAGCTTAATGACGGGAAACATTTCTTTAAAATATTAAAAAGAGGAGC